GCACTAGAAAGCTTCTGTGATAGGGAAAAAAGGAGGGTGGGTGCAAAGAGATTAAGAACTTGACCCCTCTATCTTAGCCAAAGAAAGCAAGATTAACTGGGCACAAGGAATAAAAAAAGACCTTGATATTCCACCCTTTGAGTTATAATTGGGGCGACAGGGAGAGGGGGAAGATTTGGAGTGGGATGGAGAACCAGGGGGGGCTCAACAGCTGCAAGTCTAGTCCACTTAGTTTTTGTACTGGAAGGGCTCTTCGCCAGTTTCATTGAGAAGACATGTGCGGATGAGGGCTTCTGTCACCGAAAACGGGTCGCAGTTGGCAGAGGGACGACGGTCTTCAAAGTAGCCCTTCTTCTCCTGGCCGACAGACCGGGGAATGCGGATGCTGGCGCTACGGTTGGCTACGCCAGCAGAAAAGTCGTTGATGTTGGAGGTTTCGTGGAATCCAGTTAGGCGCCGGGCATTGTCCAGGCCCCCCTTGGGATCGTAGGCGCGGATGTGGTACTGGTGCCGCTTGCTTAGTTTCTCGATGGCCTCCTCAATGTACCTAGAGGAAAAAGAAAAGATGGAGGTCTGGCCTTGTCACAAGGAAACAAACATGCCCTTTAGGGCAGCAGCAGGTATGGACCTGAGAATGAAGTCCACCAAAACACGGCCCCAGTGGAACAAATATTCCACGAGTAGCGACTCTGCCTTGTTACCCGAGTCCTAGCACTCAGAATAGTGCCTGACAAGCAGTAGAGAGTCAGCAGTTAAATAAAAAGATCCTAATCACCTGAAAACTTTCTCTCACTCATAAGCATTAAGATTATCCACATGCCTGTACTGTTACTAATTTAGTTACATTTTTAAACGCACGAATCTATTCGTCCACTTTTCCCTGTACCACCATAGATATGTGTTAACTTTAGAGTAGACTTGGTACTTTTCAAATGGGAACAAAATGGTAGGATTAGCAAATGTCTGAAACCAAGTGTCGAGAGCTGAGGGGTATGTCTAGACTGAGGAGTTCAGCTTACTCATCCCTGATACAAAGATTTGGCAAGTCATCTTGCAAAGGAGACTCTGCTGAGATTGGTAACTGTCTTCCCAAGCTTTCTGTCACAGGAGGACAAAGCTGGCCCCGGAAGAAGGCACTCACTTCAGACCGTTCTCCTCCCGCATGGCCTCGGTGCTGAAGTTGGTGTGGCAGCCGGCACCATTCCAGTTCCCAGGAATGGGCTTAGGATCGAAGGTTGCTATCACTCCAAAGTCTTCACACACACGATGCAAGATGAAACGAGCCACCCAGAGATGATCTCCCATGTTGATTCCTTCACAGGGTCCAATCTGGAATTCCCACTAGAAAGAACGGCAAGATTGGTCTTCAAAACAAAGCCAAGCGCTCGCCCCAACTCAGAAGCTCCTAAACCTGCTGTCTTCTCTCACCTCTACTCGAATCCATTCTCAGGTTTTGGGTTAGTGGTGTATCAGCAGGCCTTGCTAGCCAAAGTCCTCATTTGCCTACTCACCCTTCTTTCAGAGGCAGGGAAGGATGCTTACCTGGGCAGGCATGGCCTCGGCATTAGTCCCCGCGATCTTGACTCCAGCATACAAGCAGGCTCGGTAATGAGCCTCCACGATATCCCTGCCGTAGGCTCTGTCTGCTCCCACACCACAGTAATATGGACCTGGAGAAGCATAAACACAAACTGGTGAGAGTCAGGAAATCCAGAAAAATCCCAATGTCAGAAATCAGAAGGCCCTTAACACTTGCTCGAGTCACATCCCTGCCTTCACCTCCATCGGAGGGTGGAGAATGCAGGGGGCTCCTCTTCACCACTGCTTCAGTGGAGCCAAAGGCTGCCCCCTCAGTCCTTACTTTACACATCTACGTCCATTTCTGGATTTGGATAACGTGAGAGCTGTTATATCATTTCAGCCAGTCTCTGCATCTCCATTCAGACGGAGTTACTCCCATCTCTGGACAGTTAAAGACTTGGAGAAGCGTAGTTTTACCTCTAGCCCAAGGAGACTTACCCTGGGGCCCAGGGAAGCCGTTGGAAGGCCAGCCAAAGGGGTGCCCATCTGTCCCCATGAGAGTATATTCCTGCTCCATTCCAAACCAGGGGTGCTGGTTGCTCACCATGTCCATTATCCGTTTACAGGTGTGCCTCAAATTGGTCTCTAGAAAAAAACAAAAGTCAACATGCCATCGGGAACCTAAGGACGCATGCTGAATCACAGTGTCGATGGGAAAATATCCTCAGACTCCATGTGGCTGAGGTGTGCATTATAGGCTGAACTGACCTAGCATAAACCTTTTTGTGTCCCATCACTGTTAAGTTGGAAAAACGGGAGAAGCTGTTGTTATACATTTATAGGGAAACTCTGAAACACATCAGTTATAATTAAACTCAGTTACAACCAAGTCACATGGCAGAAGGTTCAGCACAGAGCAAGTGTTCACCTTATCTGCGTGCTGGCCACCTCCCAAGCACCAAATGCCAGGCTCTTAACCCTCTATTCACAAAGCAGCTGCTTCTAGCTGTCAGACTTTTTCCTAGTTTCTTAGGCATTTAGAGCCAAATCTAATTTTTATTGGGACTCATCTGTCCATTAGAGGGCTTACATTCCAGGTGCGATTAAGTGCCAAGTTATATAGCATTGGCTGGTGCAGAAAAAAACGAGATGAGCTCAACTGGAAACAATTCCAAGCTAGAAAGGAACCTTAAAACAGACAACTGACTGCTTAATTATGTCTCAGGAACCATTTTAAGACCTTTCTTTTAAAAACATACAACAAAACACTCAACTGAGTCCTCACAACAACACTGAGGTGGGTATTATAAGTCTACATTTTTACAGATGAGAACACGAGGCTCAGAAATGTCATGCTAGGTAACGTGCCCAGGTTATGGGGCAAGCAGCAGAGCCAGGACACCCGTGGTCATCCTGGCCTCAGGGCCCATGCCCTTTACACCACGATGATACTGCCCTCAAAACAAACGTCCAAATTCACTAAATCTCACTGGCAGTGTAGCAAGAGACTTCAGCTGGGTTTAAAAAGATGACTGGCTGAAAACTGGGAACAGGTATGTCAGGGCTCCCATGGTACTTTGTGCTGTTACAGCAAATCCCAGGGCAAACGTGACAGTGAACCAAGATGCTCATACTTAATAGTCAGTGGATAAAAAAACAAAATAAGCTGTCTGGAATGAAAAGGTAACCAATATTTGATGTATAATTGTTCCAAATGATTTGCACATAATAACTCATTCAACTTAATGAGATGGGTTTTATTTTCCCCATTTTAAAAAATCAAGGGAATGGATGTATGGGAATAATATTTTGCCCAAATTTGCAGGCAGTTAAGCAGCAGATCCAGGATTCAAACCCAACATTCAGGCTCCAGAATCCAGGTTCTTAAATCCACAGGCAGGAAGACTGTCCGTGAGGACTCCACCAGCAAACATATTTAGAAGAATTCAATGCCTTTTTATGCAAGCAGTGGAGGAGACCAGAGAAGGATGGGCCATACTGTCTCTTCCTCAACGAGGAGTTCAAGATGGAGAGGCGAATACCTAATCCTCTACGTTCTAAAAACAGTTCTGAAATAGCTTAGCCTTCCCAATACTGATTTCAGAATGTCTTCTCCCTCCCTCCACAGCATTCATGGAATGAAGCAGGGGCCTTCCTACCATCCTATACACACCTGCGGGCTTTCGATTATACTTGAAAACTTCACACAACACCAGCTTGTTGGGGTCCTTGCGGAAGGGGTCCCGAAACATGGCAGCAGGCACGAGATACATGTCGCTGTTGGAGCCTTCAGACTGTAAAGTACTAGAGCCATCAAAATTCCACTCGGGCAACTCTGGGGTAAAAAAAGAAGGGAAATTAAAAATGTACAGAAGTTTCCCAGGCAATGCAAAGACAGCCAGCCCCTCACTCACCTTTCCATCTTTAAAGATCTCTTTTCTCTTTTCTAGGAAGCCAGTAAGGCATAAACGCCACCATTAATATGTAAACCTTGAAGTCTGTACTTAATCCTACAGTCCAGTCCTTCCTATCTGAGTTCTAAGTAAGACCACTGCATCACTTCCTTAAAAGAAAGGACAGTCACAAGAACCTAAGGACATTTCCTCCCTAAATATCCTACTGTAGGCCAAGAGACAAACTGAGGTATTCTGTTATTACTACTGGCAAGTCAGCATTTAAAATACTGAGATGGGGAAGATTCTGAGCCTTCCACTGGGCCATCTGTATTGCTTCCTTCTCTTACTCCCCCACCGTGTCTATGCACTGTTCTGGCTCAAGTTGCGTCCTTATTTTACAGGGGGAACTGACAACTAGCAGGATCACTTATGCAAGAATGCACGCTTATCACTTATCCACTTCTCCTGATATGTTTTCAAGGTTGGTTTGTCTCTACAGCTCACTGAGTTCTCTGAAGACGGACCAGACTCACCTTGCATCCCCAGTACCTGTTCGGTATCTGCCACATAGCAAGTACACAATACAGGCTTTCTATTATCATTCATTCACCCAAACATGAACATCATCAGAAAAGTAAGCTATCCTAAGGTAGGTAGGAGGCACTATTTCCCTCTAGGCCCTCTTCAGAAAGGGGATGGCTATAGCTTGTTCTAGACTGAAAAACGAAGGTCACAACTATAGTATAGTAGCAGCTCCTGGAAGGATCAACAATCAGATGGTTTAAGAATTTCCAAGAGTGGCAACAACTAAAACCCAGTCCCATCTGGAAACCACTTTAGAACATTTGTCTTGCATCTAGAAACCCCGTGACACGAGTATTAAACAGAGTTTTCAAAAATTCCGTAAACTAGATGCATATTCAGGTTAGAGCAGTGGTTTTCAAGCTGGGTTCCTGAGGGGGGTCTTAGAGCCAGCTAAGTAGGGATGGCCAAGTCAACAAGTCTCCAAGAATCCTCCCAACGCTCCACACACCAGACTTAGTTTTTCTTCAATATACTGGCTTACATGCAAGATTCCACTTTAATAAAGGGCTCCATTGTTGCTATGCTTTGAGGCAGTGTAGGGGCTTAATGGCGATTGAATGTGAAGTCCGAAAAGCCCTGCCTTAGAAAAGCTTTACCAATGAAATAAAGAGGCCTAATCCAGTGGCTCGGTCTAAGGCTGCCACCGCCCACTCTCACGCTGCTCCCCTCCCGCATCACCCGGCTCACCTTCCACACACTTGGGCTCACAGTCCAGGGTGCGGGTCTTGCAGCGCAGTCCTTCTCCAGTCCCATCGATCCAGATATACATGGCTTGGACTTTCTCTCCCTGAGGCAGGGACATATACACCTGCTTGATGCCTTTGTTTAAGTGGGAACTTGCTGAGGTGGCCATGGTGGAAGGTGTTCTAGGGAGAAAAATAATAATATTATTAACGCCCACTCCGAACGGTTCCCCTGGAGGAATGGTGCAAGAGACATAATTGAAGCAAAAAGCCAAGTGGAAGTGGTGAGCTCTTGCTCTTCGGAAGTCAACACACCTAAAGTTATAAATAGTTATTCGCTCTGCTTTTAGGGAGATTAAAGTTTTATATTACACAAATATCTCCTTATAATAGGCTGTAAAAATCTGATCACCTTTTGAGGTAATTAAAGCAGATGTCTGCTGAAGAAAAGATCAAGCCCTTGGGAGTAACTCTTGAGGGCTCTCTGCATCCTGAGCTCAGAGACTGAAGTTCCATAGCTCCTACACATTCCAGAATTCACACTTCTGAGGACTCAGCTCTATCCCCTCAGTGTAGCTGAGGCAGCAGAATTTTTTTTTTTTAGTATTAAGCTACCAAGAGAATACAAAAGTTCAGAAATAGCAAATTTACAAAACGTACCTTCTCCCAACACAAGTAAAATCCAGCCACAGAAAGGCTTGGCTGCTGTGGTTTTTGTTTTGAGTTTTCTCTTTGCCTTTCATCTTAGTTGTGGTCTTAATGGAGACTTACTCCCTCCCCACACACCTTTCCCCAAAAAATCCCCAACCCCTTTTCGTTTTGGGGTTGAACCCTGTTTCCAGGCTTTAAAAGGTTGGGGGTTTCTTAAAAGGACTTGCTTTTTTTCCCTTCCCCAGGTTGGGGGGAAAAAAAAAACAGCTGATAAGTCAGATTTTAAGACGCACGCGGCCATAATTTTCATTGGTCTGACGCAAAATTCTCACTTAAGATAGGCTCAGATCTAAGTGTGACAATGACAATATTCTTAGATTCCGCTAGAGAACTTTTCAAGTAATTAAGAAATTCCCACTTCCAAATCAAAAAAACTCTGAGATTTCAAAAGCTGAGGTATGCTAAAAACTGCAAGCAACTACCACAAAACCTCTGAAAGAAAAACTCTTAAAGCACACCAGCCTCAACACAAGAGGAAACGTTGTACCTCTCCGCCCTCCCTCTGTGGCCCGGGGTGGCTGGAAAAGGAACACATTGTTCTCCTCCGACGACTTAAGTACAGAGGCAAAGTTTCTATGGGCAACCATCCATGTTTGCCCAGCTGAAAACATAACTGCTTTACCCTCCGACGGCCTCACCCTTCCCCTTGGGGAAAAGGAGAACCTCCTCCGTCAAGTCCTATTAAAGGACCAATCCGTCCGCCTACAGTGTCTAGAAGACTTGGTCAAATCCCACCCCCCATTCCCATCCCCCTTCAGCTCCCACCCAATCTCTCAGCTTTCCTCTCCAACCTGTTACACCTCCAGCATCACGCCACACTCTCTCAAGCCTCAGTTCCGGATCTCCTGCTCTTTTCCACGAGCTGGGTGCCACCAGCCTAGTGCACTATACCAACGGTACCGCCGCAGTGCCAAGTGTTATGTGGGGGGAATGCATTCTGAAGTTTTCAGCAGTTTTTGTTTGCAGCTGCCACCGGCTCCGGGGTTGTCCGCCCTGCCCCTCACTCACCCCAGCCACATAAGGTCAAGCGTAGCGTTGGGGTTGCCCTCTCTAGCCCTCCTCTTTTTAGAGTGGCGTTCGCGCCTCTCCGCTTGTTCAGACTCTCGCCTCTCCTCTGGTTCGGACTCCGGCTGGTCCAAGCACCGGAGCTTTCTGGGCGAGGGCGACGGAGAGGGGGATAGTGAGCGGTCGGACCGGGAGGTGCAGCAATTGGCAGGCTGGTGGGTTGAGGTCTTTATCTTGGGTCGCGGTTTGTCCCCGGAGTTCACCGAGTAGGCGACGAAACCGAAGCAGTTGGAGGGGGACCCCGAAGGCCGTGACTCCCCGTCCTCTTCATCTTCTTTCGTTGCTTTCTTCGTGGATTTGCGGCCGGGGGAGGATCCCCCCTTCCCGCCCCCGGGGCAGTTGGGATAATCCACTTTGAGAACAGCCCCTTCCCGCGGAAATTGCCCGAAAGTCGGCGCCCCGCCCCTCGGGCCCGGATCTCAGGGCCTCACCGAGGGGTCCATTCCCTGCCGCCCAGGAGCTGGGGTGGGGCGGGGAGAGTGGGGGGGTCCGCGGGAGGGACCGCGCGCGGCTACTGCCTCGGCGCGGCCCGGCCTCTCCCCAGGCGGCCACGCCGAGGCCCGGGCTCTCCATTGTTCGGTCACACTGGAAGGCCGCCGCGACCCCCTGGCAGGAGCCGGGCGCGCAAACAACGCTCATGGTTACTCGCTTCAACCCGGGCGTCTAAAAGGTTGCCAATACCTGGACGACTACCCAAGACGCGCCGCCGCGGAGGAAGGGCGCGAGGGGCTCGAGCCTATCAAGCGTCGGGTGTGCGCTCCCGCAGGGGATGACACAGGCACTCCACCCACCACGCAAAAGCCACCGCAAGCCCAGGGCGCCGGGAGCGTCGAGCGGCCTCCAGGGGCGGCGCTTTGGGCAGCAAGTAGCGAAAAGATCAAAACAACTCCCCCCGCCCTCCCCGGAGCCTGGCCACGGGCGCGCCCCACCGTTGCCAACAGGGACTGCAAAGACTCCCGGGCGGTGAAGCACGCGGCAAACGCGAGCGTGCCCGACACGGGCCGGGGAGGCCGAAGTGTAGACCTGGGGACCGTGGTTGGAGGGGTGGCCGAACCGAGCCGAAAGAAAGGCCGGGGCGCCGCAGCTCGGGAGGCGGCGCGGGCCACTTCGGCGCGATCGGGCCAGCCAGGCGCTTACCTGGGCGGCGAGCAGGCAGGCAGGCGGGCGGGCGGGCAGGCCGCGAGAGCGAGGCGCGGAGAGAGGCGAGGAGGCCGGTGTGCTGCTCAAATACTCCACTCTTCTCCCATTCTCGGCTCTGCAGGGCCGCCTCCCGCTCCGCACCCTTTATCCGCGGCCTGGGGCCGCCCCCGGCGCCCTGATTGGCTCCCAGCGGCCTGGAGCCCGGGCCGATCAGCTGATGCGCTCCCGGGCCCCGCGGCCATTGGGCGCGGAGTCGTGCGGGCGCCGCCGGGGTGGGGGCGAGCGAGCCTGGCAAAGAAAGAAAGAGAAAGGGGCGTGGGGGAGGGGCCGGGCGGCCTGGGGGAGGGATGAGAGGGGGAGGGGAGGGGCAGGCGGGTGGGCTGGCTGCGTGCGGAGGGGCGAGTTCCTGTGGGGAAGGGAAGCCTCCGCCTGCCGCCCACCCGCCTGGTGGGGTCCCCGCCGCCCCCCAGCCCGAGGTCCTGAGGCTCCCAGAAAAGCGCCCATGCCCCGCCTTCACGGTGAATAGTTGCAGGGAGAGCTCCCTGTGGAAATCTGGAACCAGGGAAACCGAATTTTGCCTTTTGTTGTGAGAGACCCCCCCTCCGCCACGCCCCGCGTTTCGCCCCCGGCGCGCTCGGGTTAAGTTTGAAGGGGAGCACGGGGCGCGGGAGCCGGGAGCCCCGGGCTGGCCTCGGCCAGGGCGGCGGCGCTCGGGAGACAGGCCTGGGTTCCCAAAGCCTGGAGGAGCCCCCTCCCCGGCTGTCGTAGTGGGTTTGGGGAAGTGAACAGAACTCTTCGACTTCACATTTTTAATCAGAATGCTGTGTTTCTCTAATTCCACAGAAAGGATTCCGGAGGGCGGTAGAAACAAAATCCGGAGACCTGATATCGCCTGTCACAGACCTTAGGCAAGTCTTTCAGTCTCTCCGGGCCCACGTTTGCTCATCTGCAACATAAAGCCGCCATCAAAGGGTGACCTTTAGAGCCTCCCACCAGAGGTGAAGTTGTGTGTGCAAACTGCCCCAGGGGCAGCTGAAAGCGAAGTGGAGGTCTTGGCATACTCCCTTAGAAGCCCAGGGTTCCTTGAGGATTTAAAAATTCCTCAAACAAATTCTCTCTGGTTTTGCCTATTAAAGTGTGGCTTTTAAGTCTGGAAAATGAGAAAACCTCTTTCTTCTCTCAGCCTTGCTGTGATAGTTGGGAAAATGTATATGTGAACACAATCTTGAAATGGGTGTTTGCCAACAGATGCACAATAATTATGTGTATGTATGGAGATACAACATAAATAAATATACACATATGTATGTAGCTGTCAGTGCTATTACTTGATCATTCTATTTTTAGTGCCTGAAATCCACCTGATGGTGTCTAGCCTTTATTACATCTCTCAGGAGCCCCCGGTCTTTGAGACTCTTGAGATTTTTCTGTTTGAAGACTAAGAATTCATGCTTGCAGTGCAATTGGAAAAGAAAGGGAAGAAGTTTGTTCTGGTTATGTTTTGTACCACAAATATGGGAAAGAAATGTTGCCAGTGACCACACACACATAACTTGGCTTCCTTAGTCAACATCGCTTTCCTTTAAAGAGTGTCTAACACTCTAGTGCTTTCAAATGACAGATGCAGTGTTCGCCTCAAGTGGAGGTTTTTGGTGTGTTTCTGACTGGTGGCAGTTTGGACTGGGTAAGGTGCCTTGCAAATTCCTTGTTAAATTACAGTGCTGCACGTTGAAGCATTATAATATGGTGGTTAAAGGCAGGGCTTCAGGTCAGACAAACCAAGGTTCAATTCCCAATTTTACCTCTTACCAGCTTTGTGTTAGCCAAGATTCTTAGCCACATGAAGCCTCAGTTTCTGTGCCTATAAAATACGGGTAATCATAGCTATCTTTTTATAAAAGGATTAATTGTGATAGCACATGCAAAAGAGATTAGGGTAGTATCTGAAAGGTAGTAAATGTTTAGGAAACAGTAATTATGGCTATTATAGGCCAAGATAATCTGAAGAGACTGTATTCTTTTCCCATAGCAACTCATTCGGTACAACTTTCTGACTCAGTGGTAATGCTCCACCATTAGTCTTATGAAAATGGGCTTAGGCCTGGTAACGGAGTGAGTTGTCTTCATTTCTTTCTGCAAAATCTTAAGTTTAAATGGTTGAAGAGGGGGAGTAGAAGAGAAAAATGATCTTTTTGTTTTAAAAGATATTCATTTCCAGATGCCAAACTATCAAAGCATAAACTAGAGCCTTCGACTGCACTCCCCACCAGCACCAGCAACAGGGATGGCAAGCGTAACAGAAATGGAATAGTGAGGTGCAAACTCAGTTTTTAAGCTTATGGTATTTCTGCCCTTTGAGTACCTGCTGCCCTTGCTAGGTATCTTGACCTCCTTGAGCAGTTTGTTTATCTCCATATCCCCCAATAGTGTCTAGGGTGAGTGTTCAGTAAATGTTTGTTGACCACACAAAATGACAGCGGCGCCATCAAGGGAATATGTGCTTTGAGCTGCTTTTCTGAGAATGGAAATAGATTTGCTTTGATCCGTTCATGTGACCAGGGGCATGCTTTGTAAGGGTTAGGAACGTAATCCAATGACCACGGACTCTTTCGGGAGTGAACAGAGGCCTTATCCTCCTAGGTCAGCCCCACATTTCCTTGGGGACCCCGATGAATCCAAGGACTGAGCAGGGAAGCTTAAGAGTATATGATGGAAGAAAAAGCAGAAGAAAGTCCTTTAACCGGTTCACCCCCAGAAATCCAGATTGTAATTTTAGAGAAGTTATAAGTAGAACTGCCTCTTTTCATCCAGTTTGACTTTGCTGTGTCTGCTGTCCTTTATTCTCATTCCCCTTCTTCCCTAAATTGCCACCCACCCCCATTCCCCACTCCCTCCCTAAAAAGAGCATTAGAATGCTTGAACCCATGAACTTTCCTATCTCTAGGTACACTCAGTATTAAAGCCGACAGGGGCTTCTATTGCATGTGCTTTGAAGTCAGGTTTTTCCTCTCTTTGTGTTGCTATGTCCAAGGGGTGGGTGGAGTGGGAGAGCAACATTACAGGTAAAGATTTTGTTTCAAATCTGCAGAAATAGCCCAGGACTAGAAGCGTTTCTTCTGTGTTGTTCCGCTGCCTGAACTACAGGCAGAGCAAGATGTATTAATATAGTCCCATCTTGTCTTAGGTGGGCTATACCTGTGAGTTCTCCTCACAGCTTCTTTCTCTCTCCTTTAAAGGATCCATTCTCACTCTGCAGGTACGAAGTCCTTAACCTGGTGATCTGAGAGTGCCCATATGATTGTCTTACACTCATTAGACACAAAAGTTAGGGTAGGGCTCAAACAGACCCAAACCTTCAACCCTAACATGCTGTTTAGGAATTGGCGTTTTCCTTATATAGACATGATTTCAACAGGCATCCAGCGAAACCTTTAAATCATGCCAAAGAGATAAAACTGAGACCCAACCCAGAATTGTAAACTATTCTTTTTATTATTATTATTTAATAAACCAACACCAATTCTTTCCAAAAGAACAGACCATAGTAGAATCCTAAACCAAAACAAGAAAAGAAACGAAAACGAAGAAAAGCAGCAACTCTGGAAGTTGATGGCATTCTTCTTTTTTTTTTTTCCCCTCCCTCCCACCTGTGTTGATGGCATTATTCTTAAATCATATTTTGGGGAGAAGCTGTGGTTGGCCAAGCTTTCAAATTCCACTTTATACAGTTAGAGTAGGTTATACTTCAGCTCAGTAACTAACACTGAGCATGGAGGAATTGCTCTTCATATTCTTTGTTTGACATTTTTCACCTCAGGAGAGGAAATTGGAAGTTCAAGACTCAGTCATATCTCTTACAGCCTGATTTGGGTTTTGTTGAATGCCTGCTGTTATCACTGAAATGTAGGAACACTCCGTTTCCCAAGGTGTGTGTTATGACTGAAGGGTTCGGTCTGTTTGAGGTGTGCCCCAAATCTTGTCTGGAATATGGAACTACTTAGAAGGCTGGGAAGAATCAAGTTCATCTTCACTAACAACATGGGAAAATAAGAAAATTAAAGCAACACAATTCTAAAATTAAGTCTTCACATCATTCTAAAAGATGAGACCTAGATAACTTGTAGTAACTGGCCGAAAGCCATGTTAGGGCAGTATTTTACAGCCTAACGTGCTTCCAAGGTGCCATTCCTTTGAGAACGCTTTTCTGTTCTCCTTCCTTCAGTCTCCTCAGTCTGTGGGTGATGTGTTCCTGGGCCACCACCTCTAAAATACTAAAATGTCTACAGCAGCCACCGAGGAAAGTACAGAGTACAGGGCCAACCAGCTTTCCCCTGAATCCCACATAAGGGCTTACCCATCGACTTCTGTAGAGCTGACTTTCAATATGTATTTTCTTTGTGAATTAACTAAATTACCAGAAAAACAATGCTGTATGGCAGGTTCTTTTTGAAGGACTGTTTGGAGATTGTTTTGCATATCTAATACACTGTCCCTGGTTTCATTGTTTGCTGAATCTGGGATTTTAGTAGATAACGTTTGTTCTTTATTCTCAATGCATATACAGATCTACCTTTGCCCTCTCGATTGATTGGAACATTACCGAAGCTAATTAAAAAGTTTAGGGACTTAAGACTTCTAACCAAAAAATTATTTGGATCAGAGTGTGTCCTTTAGTTATTTCTTTCCCCAAAGAAATCCTCAAGTGAGTCCACAGCTCTTCCTCCCCTCCCCCCCAATCCTATTAGTTGATTTGGATCCCTGTTTATTTCACGTTCACATGCCAAATTTTAACGGGACACAAACAGCCCTAGGGTGCGTTTTCTGGATGCTTGGGCAATACTTGTCTGCTTCTGTATTTTTCCTGCCCATCTCTCCCCTCCCCCACTTCTTTTGAACCGGTTGTTGAGAGACTTGTTTACTGGGATTGGAGAGCCAGAGACTTGGCCAGGGCGATGTGAGCATAGTGCCCTCTGGTGGAATTTTGTGAAAATTACAACCCCCCCCAAACCTTAAGTGTTTGGGAGGTTTTTTCTTGATTGGCCTTCATGGGGAGGGCCATTCTGTTACATCCTAAATATAGTAAGCTGGTAACATGCAAATTTGTTGCCTACACTGGATATTTGAGAGCTATTATGTTGGGGCTATCGCTTGATTACTAGAGGTTTATCATTATAAAATTAGGCTTCAAATGACTGGAAATGGGCAGCTGTGTGTTTGTGCTTTTTCGTCACCTGCCGTCAACGTGGAAGAGGGGGGAAGAGAAAAGGAAAGCTGCCAAAGAAAAGTCACTGAAAGGAGTCTAGGAACCAAGAGTAAACGGGAAGTGGCAAGGATCAGCAGAATTGGTCACAAACAAGTCTGATCCTCAGCCCTCACTTGGATCTGAGCCCAGAAATGTAAGACAGAGCCAGAAGTTTGGAGTCTGCCAGGTTCTCACCCGCTAGGAGAGATGGGGGTTGGGATGGGGGGGCAGAAAGTGTAGCATAAACACACCTTGTAGAGGGCCTAGGGTCATGACACTGTGCTGCTTGCTCCACCTGGGCCTTCTGGCTGGCTTTTTTTCTTTTTTCTTTTTTTAAAATTTCATTTTGAGGATCACTCCCTTCTGTGTTGCCAGTAGCAAAATCACTGTGGCCGGGAGGACACAGTCATGGGCTTCCGTCCGATGCACCTGCACTTGAATTCCTGTCTTGCCTCGAATCGGCTGTGAGACTTGGGCAAGTCAACCTGCTGGAGTCCCAGTTTTCTGGAGGTTCCTTATAGAAACACTTGTGAGGATTAAAAAATAATCACAGAGTAAACGATTCAGAACCAAGCTACTGAATTTTATTGTGGCCAAGAACGAGGAAGAGAGTGGACCTATTACTAAGGAAGATGACTCAGTATTTAGGACTGTTGGTCTTGCCCGGAGGCACACAAAACCTCTGACCTGTCTGGCAACACATTTAGAAGAAACAGGGGCAAGGAGAGATTCTAGAAGCAAATAAGCCTTTATTAAGCGGCGACTAGGGCATATAGTGGCAGCATACATATGAAACTATGTAACTTGGGTATGGCAAAATCTTTACTCTTTAGGAGCCTGTGCATGAGTTGGCGAGGACAAATCTTTGTAAGGGAAATGATTTCAGAAACAGCACAAAGCAAAACGTATCACCTGTATGGGCAAAATAATAGGGCAGATTTAATATAAGTTCCTAAGTGTTCCAAAACAAAGGAGTAGATAAGAGTTCTTGGAGAAGGCCGCCTTGGGGGTATTCAGTAGGGTGGAGGGAGCGGTGGGTTCTATACTGGGTATCTAATAACATGGTAAAAATGCAATTGTGGGATAGCTTTCTGTGACAGGCAAGGGAAATATTTGCAAAGACCCAAGGATAGGATCTAAAAAATTGCATGCACAAGGATGGCGATGGTGAAAAAGGTACACTTTGCCTAGAGTGAGAGTAATAAAATGTGAAGTTGGGAAAGTACTGAGCATCTGAATTCTATAAAAATTTAAGTTATGGAAATTTGATACGTCATTAAGATACGTGAAAAGTCTCACATATTTATAGGTAGGTGAAAAGTCTTACATATTTATATATGTAAAATTGAAATGAAGTCCATCCTTAAAAGTTGGGGGGAGAAGGGGAGACAAAAAGAGCATAATTTCAACTCGTATAAATTAACTATAAATTTTGTTATGCTACTTCTACATGGTGGCACCACTTTGGTGAACACATAAAAGTATCCACTTTTCTTTATCAGGATGAGACTTGAATGGTTTCAGTTTTGAATTGTGAGAAATCTTTATTCAGGTAAAAGGCAATCCCTTGTGCCTGCAGAAGCAGCTGGTGACAGCATGACTGCTTGACTCTACTCTTCCCCCCAAAAGCCCTTCCTTCTCTTCCATTCTTTCCTCCCATGCCTTTTCTTGCACGTTAATCTATATCTCTGGTCCTCTTCCCTCCCTCCCCCCAAATCCAATCAGCACCTCTTTCTCAGGCACCTTTCTCCTCAACTCCTTGGCAATTAGAGGCTCAGGAACAGGAAATGCATCAGCAGATGGGGACCCGCTGCTGTCCTTAGGGCCATTACCTTCTCTGGGGAAGACGGGGTACACTATGTGTGGGCATCGTAGGCCCTGTCTCAGGGGGAGCTCTGTGAAAGGAAGAGAGCCTGGTCATCTTTCTCTGCCTGCTCCACTTCCTGCAGCAACCTGTAGAGGGTTCCTGGAGTGCTTGTGTGATATGGAGCTTCTTTGGATGTCATCAGCTTCAACCTGGGACTGTAACAACGATGCCAAAAAAAGGAGAAGCCATAGATTCCCAAGAGGCATGAGGCATTGATCATCAAATGCCAGCAGAAGAAGGTGGTGATAAACATGATGTCACTGATGTCATCGTCCTGCCATGGGTAGCCGGAGACTGGTCTGAATAGAATAAAGCCCGCCTGCATCAGCCAGGAGCCCATCATCAGAAACAGAAAGGTCTCCGTCACCCAGAGGTGAAACGTGTCGGGAGCCCACAGCTCTGCGGTCAGCACCAGCACCAGCAGGAACACCACCAGCATGAGCAGAGAGTGGACTTGCAGCTCCACCCCTTCTGAGTCTTTAACATGTGACACCATCAGCAGCAGGAGCTCGTAGAAGCTCAGGACCAGGGTTCCTTTTTCCAGGACCACACACCTCTGAGGGAGAACGTTCCTGCTCATGAAGTCTACACAGCCATTGAGGGTGAGGAGGATGAACATGGTGAGGTGCTGCCACTCTTTGGGGTACATAAACCTTGGTGGCAGCTCCCTGTTCATCAGTATTAGGCCTCCTTTAATGCAGCTGATCTCATAAGCTATCAAGAGGGAGCCAGCCACCATCTTCAGCAAACCTCCGTAGGACATATTCCACATCCTGGCCCATCTTCCCTTATTCCTGGTAGGGCACAAAGGATACAGGAGAGAGTCATTGAATATTACAGCCTTGGAGACCACTATTGCCTGATACAGTCCATATAAGAACAGAAGAAGCCCTGGATAGACATGACCTATAAAGGTTCCCATTGAACTGCAGCTCTGTCTAAAGAAGGAAAAAAGCTCGAGTTTCAGGCAAGGCTGCACCTGGGGCCACTTCAAATTCTGGGTTTGGAAAGAACTGCCTGCCACCTACTTTTATCGTCTCACCCCACCTACTATTAACCCACAGAGAGGAAATGTTTCTCTAGAAAAGCCTACACACATGGTGGGATATGGCTCTATTATTCTAACCCATCTGGTACACTGGGAACTAACTGGCTTCTGCCAAAAAAGGAAGTAGGTAAACAGTTTTCGGGGATCCTCTTCCAGCCCTTGAGGTGCTTCTGGTCACATTTGTCCCCTATCCCCCACAGCTTCCTTCGTCCTGTCCAGCACAGTGCTCAGAGGAGAGAAGGAGAGACAAATGGAGTGGGTTACCATGGTGTCCAGAGAAAATGTTGCCACTTGTAAATTCTTGAATGCCCCTCAGTACCTCTTGGTCACAACTTTGATTCAATTGTAATGTCTGGATACATAATTGTGAACATTTGGATTCGTGACCATATAATACATATTAAGCGCCTGTCTGGCTTTTTCTGTTTTTCTTTGCTAGACACATCGTGAAGGCCACCAAGAAATCTCTCTTCACCCCTGCCCTTACCCTGTCACATCAACCCGACCACCACCACTTCGACATCTCTGCTGGCCATAAGATGTATCTGAAAAGCCACCTTTTGATATTGATTTCAGGGGCTGTGGTGATTTTGTAGCGTGTCAGTGGAACTAAGCTAGAACCTTGTTTCCCAGAGTTGCCCTCCCTACCTGGGTCCAAGTCAGGCTTGGCTACACGTGGAATTTTCACGGGAATCTGAAGGTGGAAGTGAAGCAGCCACCAAGTACACTGTGGAAGTGTGGCAAGCCCACTGTGGCTCATCTGTTCCACCTTGGACCTGCTGGCTCACCCCTGAAGTGAACAGCGGCCAGGCTTACAGCTCCCCCAACTCATCTCGGTGGGAAGGGCACCAGCTTCTTCTACAGGGTGCCTGCCATTGAGGAATGAGGTGGGCAGAGGAAGACACGGGCTCCAGTTTGTGCTGGTAATTTCAGTTTGTCCCTGCTCTTCCCTACTTCATGTAATAGATTTCTTCCTGACTGCTGCCACAGTGACCTGCCTGCCATGACCTCAGGACCCCCACACAGCAGAGAGGCAATAGCCTTCCTTAGGGTAGGTCACTGGATCCCACAAATGTGTAAGATCTTCTTTCTACGAGACATTTATATCCCACATCGCTCATTCTGTATCACTCTGATTCCGTGATCCACCCCGAAGTGATGCAAGGAATTAAGCTGTAGTCCTTAAAATGTAGATACCACTGAGAGGACAAACTCCAGTGAGCTGGTATTAGACATTTATATTTTCATGTGAAAGAGCGCATCAGCTTCACATCCCAATTATTCACTTAATGAGTGTCTGCTGCGCTTGGCCAGACAGAGTTCCAGGGACTGGATTACAGCAAGGTGAGCATAAGGCAGAGGGGATGGCGGTGAGAAGCTACAGGGAATGTGAGACATCCCTGGACACACAGATGGCTCTGGGCATGTTGCAGAGGGAACCTGGAGTAGGAATTTCTCTGAAGCTGATGGGCGTGTTGAGGGGAGAGGAGGAAGGCCCTCAGTACAGGAGCCTTGGTGACTTCAGTCTTCTGCGTAATCCTCTGTGCTCACTGTACAAGCAGTGCGGTGGGGCAGAGAGGCAGCTTCTGTGTGCTGACAGCGCCCCCAGTGGGGAGGAGGAGAGCTGACACCCCTAGGCTCAACACTGCCTCTGAGCCCTCATTCCCATCCAAATACCTGCTGTTTCTCAAGCCCACTCAATGCCAGAAAAATTAAACGACTTTCTCTGCTCTCGAGGATGACAGTATTTCAGATCGCTTCTTGTTATTGGGAGATTTTGCGGAGTTGGGGAGTTGAGTGTCAAGGCAAGTTAGAAACAGCAAGCTTAATTCTGCTTTCTGAAGGAATCTACTTTGCTTATGGAATTTTAAATTTTGGCCTTTTTAGTCATTTCATGCATAGTCATTGTAGAAAAATCATGTAGACTATACAAGCAAAAAAGAACATTAAAAAATCATATGTAATCTCACAAGCTGGAGGTGACAGTTGCCACCGGTGAGGTGTAGAGACACAGTTTTAAGAAGGTGTCATGAAGAAGTAGAAAATACATTGACTGGAAGTCGGAATCTGGATTCTAGTCCCAGTTCTCTGTTGATTTGCTGAATGTTCTACCTTTATGTAAAAAAGTGATTGTTGGACTTAATTTTCCGGAAAGTGAAATCACAAAGGCAAGGATATTGCTATACAGAGTGAGCATATTTATATCCTGTCCCTTTCTGCCTTTTGGTGAAATATTAAAATTCCTGGAAGGCACTGTGGAGCTGAATGCTCAGAGGAAGGAAGTTCAAAGGGAAAACTGAGAGTGACACTGCTGAAAAGAATCAGGGACGAGAGACCCCCAGGGACCCTCCTTGGCTCTTGGATTTGCTGTGGGAGAAGTACAATGTCCATTGCTCCTGTGGGTATCAGCAGGGTTGGGCCAGGGGGTCCGTGGCCTGCAGGCCTCAAGAAGAGCTGCATTTGTCACTCTTAATTTTGTTTCTAGTGCCTTGGAACTGTGGCCCATGTGCGGGGGGAGCAGCAGAGCTTAGTCCAGCTCCCACCCTCATTTCTGCAGCTGTTCCTGGCAGCTGTGATCGGGCACCGGTGGTCAGGAGAGGAGGGAGAACAGCAACACCGACCCAACAGCAATGGGAAGTGGAATGTGGCACGGATGCAGGACATGGAGCCCACTTGCGGTCCCCTGTGGGGTGCTCAGGCCCCTGTTTTGGCCGGACATCAGGGCACATATTGTTCATTGAAACATGAACATCCTGATGCCAGGACTTTGAAGATAGGAATCGCCCATCCCAAACCTGACACGGCCCACAAGCAGTTGAGCAAGAAGCCAAAGATGGTGAATGATTAGCAGAAGTGGCAGACAGCTCCAGAGTCTGTGGACATGGAAGACCTGGAAAAGTGTTTCAGGGGGAAATATCAGCTTGACCATGGGAGCCCACGGAGGTCCTTCATGGCCTGGCTGCTCCACGGTGAGACTTCCCCAGACCTGCCCACCCCCATTACTGCAAATTCCCAAGGGGCCTAGGCATAGCCACTGCCACTTGTCTGGCATCATGCAAGCTAGAGTGAGCAAGGTCATCAGGAGTCCAGTCACAACTTGAATTTTCTACCTGCCATGGATCCTGCTGAGTGCCTCAAGGCCTGGAAAGAAGTGTATGATAGAGTTCTTACCCTCAGAGAACTTACAATTTAGCTCTACGTTTACACACATGCACACACACACACACACAGGCACATGCACACACACACTAGAGTACTATTTACGCTACCTCAGTCCCATAGAAACATAACGCCACATATGTGAATTTAAGTTTTCCAATGGCCACATTAAATAAGTAAAATCAATTTTAATGAGATCTTATAGTAGTATTTAATTCAATGTATCCAAAATAATATTTTCACATGTAATTAATATAAAAATTATGAATGAAGAATTGTAAATTCTATATTTCATATAGACTTAGTCTATATTTTATACTTACAGCACATCTCAATTCAGACAAGCCATATAACAGTGGTTAATACCCACATGTCATTAATAGCTACCATATTACATTGGCCAGTTTTGGACAGTATACGATGACATGTTGAGGGAAATACATATTTTAAAGTTTTAGTGAAAAAACCTTTCATTGAAGAGATAGAAGATTTGTCGGAAATAGCGTCTAGAGAGCAACACTGTAAACTTCTTAACGACTGTGAGATGTTAGTATGCTACTTTCCAAAAGTTAAATTAATAACTCCTTTCTAAATAGGAGGGACAGCTTCACAATCATTAACAAGTGCAACTCACCTTGCTGCCAGTCTGAATACACCCCAGGAGAGAGAAGGCCAGAAGGCTGGGGGCTTGAGAAGCTCACACAGATAGTGGATCTGTGGAAATAAACCCATCAGCCTCTGCACACCCAGGGGAGCTGGGGGTAGAGACCCAAGCTATGATGTACACATATTCTTTAGGAAGCCTGGGAATAATTACACTGTTCTATTCATGCACACAGGGTTTCCTTGTCACCTATTTTCTGTCCATCTTGTTTTTTGAATCAGTCACACCTCTCTTCTCTGCAGAGAAGTCAGTGGAGGCCAGACAACAGAAGCAAGGGCATGATGGTCAGACCTGCCAGCTCAGGATCCTGTCCTGTTTCTGACCAGCCATAAATCTTTAGGCAAATTCACCTGTTGAAGTCTTCAGGTTTTCATATGTAAAATGGAGAGTTCTGGAAAGCCAACAAGGCATACCCCATACAGGTAAAGTTAAAGATGATATACAGAGTGAGCAATTCTTAATAAGTCAGTGGAATTTCATTTACACACAGTTCTGCTGCTTATATGATTCAGGCGTTAGAATGTTGATGTCTCTCTAAGAGTTCACAGACCAGTCAGACACTGCATTAGAAGAGACAGGAAAAGGAGACTGGAAGCAAATGTACCTTTATTAAGTATCAACTATGTGGAAGACCATGTTCTATTCTTCTGGAAGATGCAAAGAAAATTAGATAACTAGGATATGATAAATTCCCTGCTCTTAAAGGAGCCTACTTTTAGTTGGTGAGGGGAAACCTCCCCAAGAGAAACAATATGAGATACAGAACAAAGAATGTATCAGTGGCATGGGCAAAATAACAAAGCAGATTCAGATGAGTTGCTGAAGAGCTCCAGACCCAAGGAGTATATGAGAATTTTCTGGAGGAGGACTTCTTGGTGGGACCAGTGCAAGGGGATTCAAAGCTGGGTATAAGATGACACTGTGTAGTAAAACTGTGAGTGCCAGGGGGTTTTGTGTAGAATATAGTAAATGGGACCTAGGAAATTGCCTGTGAGTGTAATGGCACAGTGGTTTAACAAGTGGTTAAACAAGTAGTTAATCACTTTGCTTTGGCTGGAGTAGAGGTCAGGAATAAGAAATGTGGTGGCATTTTCTGAAAATTTGATTTATGGAAATTTGAAAAGCTGCTATAAAGTTTTAATTCTCACTTTATGTGCAAAATATGCAACTATGCTAATCCACACAAATTAAATGCCTATATGTGTGCATATGTATGTGGGATTCTTTTAATTTCAAGCAGGTGGGTAAGTGCATTGTACTATAGCAGTTATGCTGTTTCCTCATATTGATGTCACTTTAGTTGGCCAACAGAAGTACTGACAATTGCAATTTTCTTTGGTGAGAAGTCTTTATTTCTCCAGTAAAAACCTGGAGAGGCAGCTGGTGACAGCATTGCTGCTGGACTCTGTGTGTCTCTCAACAAAGGCCTCCTTTCTATTGTTCTCTCCCCACCAGGGCTATTTTTGTACACATACCTACTCCCTTGGGCCTCTTCCTGCTCTCCCACTTCCTGCCATCCACATAATCCCACCCATGTCCCTTTCTTAGGTTCTGCTCTCCCTCCACAGCAACTAGAGATTTAGTGACAGGGACAACACTTGGGACCAGCTGCTGTCCTGCAAGGCCATTACCTTCACTGGGGACCAAAAATGGTGCCATGCACATGGCTGAGAGAACCCACAGGGGAAGATGGGGTGCACTATGTGCGGGCATTGTAGGCCCTCTCTCAGGTGGAGCTCGTTGAAAGGAGAGCCTGGTCATCTTTCTCTGACTGCTCCACTTCCTGCAGCAACCTGTAGAGGGGTCCTGGAGTGCTTGTGTGATATGGAGCTTCTTTGGATGTCATCAGCTTCAACTTGGGACTGTAACAACGATGCCAAAAAAAGGAGAAGCCATAGATTCCCAACAGGCAAGAGGCGTTGATCATCAAATGCCAGCAGAAGAAGGTGGTGACAAACATGATGTCATTGATGTCATCGTCCTGCCATGGGTAGCCAGAGACTGGTCTGTATAGAATAAAGCCCACCTGCATCAGCCAGGAGCCCACCATCAGAATGAGAAAGGTCTCCATCACCAAGAGGTGAAACATGTCAGGAGCCCACAGCTCTGCGGTCAGCACCAGCATCAGCAGAAACACCACCAGGATGAGCAGAGAGTGGACTTGCAGCTCCACCCCCGATGAACCCTGAAGATGTGACACCATCAGCAGCAGGAGCTCGTAGAAGCTCAAAACCAAGGTTCCTTTTTCCAGGACCACACACCGATGAGGTAGCAAGTTCTTGCTCATGACATCTACACAGCCATTGAGGATGAGGAGGATGAACATGATGAGGTGCTGCCACTCTTTGGGGTACATAAACCTTGGTGGCACCTGTTTGCTCATCAGCACCATCCCATCATCAAGACAAAAGACCACATAAGCCGTTAAGATGGAGCCGGTCACTATCTTCAACCAGCCTCCATAGGATACTTTCCACAGCCTGGCCCATCTTGTCTTATTTTTGGGAAGGCATGAAGGATACACAAGAGAGTCTTTAAATATCATGTCCCTGAAGATCACTGTTGCTTGATACAGTCCATAAGAGAACAGATATAACCCTGGGTAAAAATGACCATTGAACTTCCCCATGAAATTAGAGGTCTGTCTGACTAAGGAGTGAAGAACAAAACTCAAGACCTCTCTGCCCTCCTCTCCCTCATGGGCTTCTCACGTTTTGGGCTATATATACAGAGCTAACTTCTACTTACGTTTATCATCTTCCTCTACCCACTGCTCTCCCACACAATGAAAAGTTCTGGATAGGAGCCGAGGCTGTTGGTGAAGTGGGTCTCATTATTCCATTCCATTGTAGCACACTGGGAACTAACTGACTTCAAAGGAGGAAGGTAAATACTTTTTAGCATGCACCTGTGGGAATGTGTGCTTTTGGACCCTTGAGGAGCTTCTGGTCACCCTTCTCCCTCTCTCTCATGGCTTGCTTCCTTCTGCTCCTGTCCAGTGCTCAGAGGAGAAGGGGAGAGGTGCCTGAGCATGGAGATTATTCAGAGGAGACTCAGGATACCCACAAATTTTTGTGCATCCTTACTCATATATTGGGTCATACACTAAGAGCAAATATTTTTCTTCCTGGACATAAACTTTTATAAACATTTGGGTGTGTGCTCATATGTATAGATACTGAGTTCCTACTTGACCTCTTCATTCTTTTGTAACAGATATAGAAAGCTTCTCACCTGCTCCCAATTCTCTCTCCACTGGACAGTAAAAGAACCTGAAAAGCTACCTTTTGAGATCAATTTTGGGATGTTAATTTCTTATTAAAATGCAGATATATTGAGACAAGTAAATCCAATGAGCTACTTATATTTCAATGTGAATCAACTCCTCAACTTTATTCTCTCTTTAATTATCATGTGCTATATGTCTAATACATAGAGGCAGAAAGAGTCCTAGACACTGGGTGATAGCCAGCTGCATAGGAGGGATTGTACCCAAGGCAAGAGTCTTCATTTATTTTTTTTAATAAAAGTTATATATATAGTAATTCCCCCTTATCCAAGAGGGATACTTTCCAAAATCCCCAGTGGATGACTGAAACCATGAATAGTTCTGAACCCTATATATACTATGCTTTTTCCTATATGTACATACCTATGATAAAGTTTAATTTATGGATTAGACACAGTAAGAGATTAACAATAAAAACTAATAATAACATAGAACAATTATAACAACATAGTGTAATAAGGTTATGTGAATGTGGTTTCCCTCTCTCTTTCTCAAAATACTGTAATATTTTTGGACTATAGTTAACCACAGTTAATGGAAACCAAAGAAAGTAAAACTATGGATAAAGGAGGACTACTACACTGAAGGTGTACAACCTATTGTTTTGACACACAGTGAAGCTAATTAACGTATCTATCACCTCACATAGTTAGGTGGCAAGAACACTTAAGATCTACTCCCTTAGCACATTTTAAGTTTCCAATACAGTATTATCAACAATAATCATCATGCTGTATGTTCACTTTCTAGAACTGATCCATCCTACATGACTGAAACTTTGTACCTTTTGGACAACATCTCCCAATTTCCCCCACCCCTACCCTACTAACCACCATTCATTCTACTCTTTGTTTCTATGAATTCAACTTTTTTAGATTTCACATATAAGTGAGATCATGCATTATTTTTCTTTGTGTCTCTGGGTTACTTCACTTAGCATAATGGCCTCCAGGTTCATCCATGTTGTTGCAAATGGTAGGATCTCCTTCTTTTTAATGGTTGAATAATATACCATTGTGTGTATATATACACATCACAGTTTCTTTATCTATTCATCTTCTGATGGACATTTAGGTTGTTTCCATATCTTCGTTATTGTGAATAATACTGCAATGAAAATGAGAGTACAGATATCTCCAAGATACTGATTTCATTTCCTTTGACTATATACCCAGAAGTGGGATTGCTGGATCATATAGTAGCCCTATTTTTAATTTTTTTTTTTTTTTTATTTTGAGACAGAGTCTTGCTTCGTTGCCCGGGCTAGAGTGAGTGCCATGGTGTCAGCCTAGCTCACAGCAACCTCGAATTCCAGGGCTCAAGCAATCCTGCCTCAGCCTCCCGAGTAGCTGGACTACAGACATGGGCCACCATGCCCAGCTAATTTTTTCTGTATATATATATTTTTAGTTGTCCAGATCATTTCTTTCTATTTTTTAGTAGAGACGGGGTCTCGCTCTTGCTCAGGCTGGTCTCGAACTCCTGAGCTTGAGCGATCCGCCCGCCTCGGCCTCCCAGAGTGCTAGGATTACAGGCGTGAGCCACCGCGCCCAGCCCTATTTTTAATTTTTTGAGAAACCTGTGTACTGCTTCTCATAATGGCTACACCAATTTACGTTTCCACCAATGATACAAGGGTTCCCTTTTCTCCACATCCTCACCAACACTAGTTATCTTTTGTCTTTTTGATTATAGCCACCCTAACAGGTGTGAGGTGATATTTCTTTGCGGTTTTGATATGCATTTCTCTGATGATTAGTGATGTTGAGCACCTTTTCATATCCCTGTTGGCCATTTGTATGTCTTCTTTGGAAAAATATCTCTGTAGTTTCTTTACCCATTTTTTAATTGGGATATTTGTTTTTTTGCTATTGAGTTAGAAATAACCAAGGAAGTGAACTGCAACTGTACACTGTACACTGTACACTGGAAACTATAAAACATTGATGAAAGAAACAGTAGATACACATAAATGGAAAAAAATTCCATGTTCATGGATTGGAAGAATTAATATTGTCAACATGTCCATACTATCCAAAGCAATCTACAAATTCAACACAATTCCTATAAAAATTTCAATTACATTTTCACAGAAATAAAATAATAAATTCTAAAATTTGAATGGAACCAGAAGAGACTCTGAATAGCCAAACCAATCTTGAAAAAGAAAAACAAAGTTGGTGGCATCATACTTCCTGATTTCAAATTATGTTACAAAGGTATAGTAATCAAAACAGCATGGTCCTGACATAACGACAAACATACAGACCAAAGTAACAGAATGGAGAGCCCAGAAATAAACCCACACATATATGGTTAACTGATTTTTGACCAGGGAGCCAAGAATACACAATGGAGAAAGGATAGTCTCTTCAATAAATGGCTTAGGGAAAAGTGGATATCCATGTGCCAAAAAATGAAACTAGACCCTCATCTTACACCATATACAAAAATTAACTCAAAATATATCAAAGACTTAAATATAAGCCTGAAATCATAACTACTATAGGAAAACTTATGGGAAAAGCTCCTTGACATTGGTCTTGGCAATGATTTTTTTAGATATGACACCAAAAGCACGGGCAACAAAAACAAAAATAAATAAGTGGGACTATATCGAGTTAAAAAGTTTCTGTGCAGGCCGGGTGTGGTGGCTCACACCTGTAATCCTAGCACTCTGGGAGGCCGAGACGGGAGGATTGCTTGAGCTCAGGAGTTCAAGACCAGCCTGAGCAAGAGCAAGACCCTGTCTCTACTATAAATAGAAAGAAATTAGCCAAACAACTAAAAACAGAAAAAATTAGCCAGGCACAATGGCATGTGCCTATAGTCCCAGCTACCCGGGAGGCTGAGGCAGAAGGATTGCTTGAGCCCAGGGGTTTGAGGTTGCTGTGAGCTAGGCTGATGCCACGGCACTCTAACCCGGGCAACAGAGTTAGACTCCGTCTCAAAAAAAAAAAAAAAAGTTTCTGTGCAGCAAAAGAAACAATCAACAAAAGGAAAAGGCAACCTACAGAATGGGAGAAAATATTTGCAAACTGTCTGCTATGGTTTGAATATTTGTCCCTTGTAAAACACATGTTGAAATTTATTCCCCAATGTGGCAATATTGAGAGGTAGGACCTTTAAGAGGTGATTGGGTCATGAGGACTCTATCTTTATCAATGGATTAATTTAATCCATTTATGAATTAATGGATTAATGGGTTAGTGAATTAATGGCTTATTATGAGTGTGAGACCGGTGGCTTTATAAGAAGAAAAAGAGTGACTTGAGCTATCACACACAGCCCCCTTGACATATGTCGGCTGTACCAATTCAGGACTCTGCAAGGAGTCAGTGAGTCCCCACCAGTAAGAAGGCTCTCAGCAGATGGAGCCCCTCAACGTTGGACTTCCCAGCCTCCATAACTATAGGGAATAAATTCCTTTTCTTTATAAATTACCCAGTTTCAAGTATTCTGTTGTAAGCACTGGAAATGGACTAAAATATCATATAAATGGTAAGGAGTTAATAGCCAAAATATATGAAATTCTTCATTTAGAGAGTATGATGGAGAACAAATTATAGGGAATGTGAGACCCCTGGGCACACAAATGGCTCTGGGCATACTGCAGAGGGAACCTGGAGTAGGAGTTTTTCTGAAGCTGAAGAGTGTACTGAGGGGAGAGGAGGAAGGTCCTCAGCACAGGGGCCTCCCGCTTTCAGTCTTCTGCATAATCCTCTGTGCTCACTCTACAAGCAGTGCTGTGGGGCAGAGAGGCAGTGCCCGTGTGCTGACAGCGCCCCCAGTGGGGAGGAGGAGAGCTTACACCTGGGTCACACCACTGCCTGTAAGGCCTCACTCCCATCCAAGTATCTACTCACTTAATCTCATCCCATCCAAGCATTTCCCGCACCTAGTTAATGTAATCATGCCCCACATTATTGACATTTCAGTCAATAATGGACCATATATACAACTGTGGTCCCATAAGATTATAATAGAGCCGAAAACTTCCTATCATCTAGTGACATCATAGCCATCTTAATGTCATAGCAGAATGCATTACTCACATGTTTGTGATGATACTGGGTAAACAAACCTACTGCACAGCCAGTTGTATAGAAAACTGTGCAGTAATGTCCTAGGCTCTCATGTTCACTCACTACCCACTAACTGACTCACCCAGAACAACTTTCAGTCCTGCAGGTTCCATTCATGGTAAGTGCCCTCTACAGATGTACCAGCGTTAATCTTTTATACCATTTTTTTGC